CACATGATGTTGATGTTACACACATGATGTTGATGTTACACACATGATGTTGATGTTACACACATGATGTTGATGTTACACACATGATGTTGATGTTACGCACATGATGTTGATGTTACGCACATGACCTGATGCAGATATTCCTCAGCAGAGGTGGGGGGGCGGTGGGGGTCAAAGTCGGGGGGCAGGTCCCCCACAGGCAGCGCCCGGGACGGCAGCGCCTCGCTGGAGCTCGTGTCTTCGTCGTGGCTTTTCATGATGAGCTTATTATCACGGGCACGTTGATGTTATATGCCAGGAGTAAATTATTGATATATGCCAGGAGCAAAGTAATGCTTTAAGCCACAGTCATATTAATGCTGTATATTATGGGCGAAATAATGCAATATATCACAGGAAAATTAATGCTATCTAACGCGAATGAATTGATGCTCTTTCTTTCCCAAGAGCAAGACCATACAAGCAAATTAATGTTCTATCACACGCGCAAATTTCTGCTATTGTAGCAAAAATGATCATGCGGACATGTTTCTGAAGTTATTGGAAAAAAGAGTGAAATAACAGGCAAGAAATTCCATTTTCTGGCGAGAGGAGATAGAAGGTCCTAACAAGCAAACCATAGCAAAACCTAATAACTTCAGGTATCAGCAAGATATCGTTAGTCCGATGATTGCAAGGTGGCGGCCCACATGACGAGACTAGTGCGATGGTTAGTGAAGGAATGGTAGGCTGGTAGCCTCCTACATGCCAGTGAAGGAATGGTAGGCTGGTAGCCTCCTACATGCCAGTGAAGGAATGGTAGGCTGGTAGCCCCCTACATGCCAGTGAAGGAATGGTAGGCTGGTAGCCTCCTACATGCCAGTGAAGGAATGGTAGGCTGGTAGCCTCCTACATGCCAGTGAAGGAATGGTAGGCTGGTAGCCCCCTNAATCATACGAGATACGGTAAGCATACGGGCTAAGTAATCATACGAGATACGGTAAGCATACGGGCTAAGTAATCATACGAGATACGGTAAGCATACGGGCTAAGTAATCATACGAGATACGGTAAGCATACGGGCTAAGTAATCATACGAGATACGGTAAGCATACGGGCTAAGTAATCATACGAGATACGGTAAGCATACGGGCTAAGTAATCATACGAGATACGGTAAGCATACGGGCTAAGTAATCATACGAGATACGGTAAGCATACGGGCTAAGTAATCATACGAGATACGGTAAGCATACGGGCTAAGTAATCATACGAGATACGGTAAGCATACGGGCTAAGTAATCATACGAGATACGGTAAGCATACGGGCTAAGTAATCATACGAGATACGGTAAGCATACGGGCTAAGTAATCATACGAGATACGGTAAGCATACGGGCTAAGTAATCATACGAGATACGGTAACCATACGGGCTAAGTAATCATACGAGATACGGTAAGCATACGGGCTAAGTAATCATACGAGATACGGTAAGCATACGGGCTAAGTAATCATACGAGATACGGTAAGCATACGAGAGTGTGGGACCACAGGACAACTCGGGACACGTGGGTGTGTCAGGCCCAGATAGCGATGCCTCGCAACAGATCTCCAATTATTCCAATAAACTACTCAATAATTAAGTTAAATATCATATGATAATTGTAGCATTAAACAGTCCTTAATTTGTAGGGCTAGGAAAAAATGAAATTCAAATATTTGGCATTCAAAATGAAAGACTGAAATTCAGAAATTAGTTTCAAACAAGAAATCATTCAAGTTAATAATAAGACTCACATGAAGACAGCTCGAACTAAAGATTCTGTTGCAAGCATCGCGTATTCCCTGCGTACGAATGTATATATTGTTCATTGAGACGTGCTTTAATAACTAAATTAAATTAATTTCGTGATGATTAAAGCTCTTGTAGATTCACTTGACTAAACAATAAATACAATTAAATATCAAGATACAACATTTAAGGCAAGAAATGGTTCTAATTATATAAATAGAGGACGGTAAGATGCATTGTAATAAGCAATAACAAATATCATTGCGTGCGTTGACTCGCAACTTTGTGTTGAATTCAACACACGAGTTCCTGAGACGGGCGAATTTAAGAACAGTTTAGTTCAAAAACGAACAAAAGCCTCAGAAAAACAACGCTTAAAGCTAAGCATCGCTCATGAAGAATTGGCATCTGACAAAGATGGTTTAGGACAATACTTATTTCAATCACATTGACGATGGTTGGAAAATATTTCAGATGAGTTAGACGATAAAGAAAATTATTGTTGTTCTGATCATTTTGCATTTAGATGGCAGGGAGAGATTCTTCTTAATAATTTCAGCATTAACACAGTCCTAAATTTTTTTACAAAGGTACACATGTTCACTCACATAAGAAACATGAAATGACGTTCAATAAAAGGGATAACGAAAATACTGAAGTCTCTGAATTCTATAATAATTCGTCAAGCTTTTATTGGAAATCCAATCAAACGTTAGATTTTGTCATCAATTCGGAATTTCTTAGGAAAATCTTGCAATTAATCAACCATACACCGAGACAGCATGGAAATAACCCCCAAAATTATTAGAGTCAACAGCTCCCTGATCTTAAATATGCAATGAAGAGGTGGCAAAAATTCTTGAAACTTAACAATTAATTAAAAGAATCAGCCTGTTGATTATGTTGAAATTGAATTGTCCTAATTGTATAAGAAGTAATAACTGTCAATAATAATAATAATAACAATGGGAAAGTGAACTTTCAGGCACAGTAAACAAAATTTCAATATGTATTTTTATGAAAAACTTTTTTGTTTAGCGAAAGCAATAAATTGACGAAATTCAAGCTCTAATTGCATGCAGCTTCAGATTCAATGATTAGCAAGTTTCAGTTCAATGTTTAGGTTTAAATGAAGTCGAGTTTCTTTAAAACTGCTCGAGTTCCACCACTATAGGGGCATCATCATCACTATCATCAAAACTGTTCGAGCTCCACCACTACAGGGGCATCTTCATCACTATCATCATCATCACTTTCATCTTCATCACTATCATCACCACTGCTCGAGCTCCACAACTACAGGGGCATCATCATCACTATCATCACCACTGCTCAAGTTCCACCACTACAGGGGCATCTTCATTACTATCATCATCACCACTATCATCTTCATCACTATCATCACCACTGCTCAAGTTCCACCACTACAGGACCATCTTCATCACTATCATCACCACTGCTCGAGTTCCACCACTACAGGGGCATCTTCATCACTATCATCAAAATCAAAACTCCAGCCAAAGCGCAGCTTGAGATGCGTCCTGAACTTCTGGGCTCGCTGGACCAGCAGGGCAGGCAGACTAGCGACGTTGTCTTCAATGTTGAAGAAAAGCTGAGCCAGGGACGCGGCGAGGAAGTTGTTCTGCTCCACGATGTCAACAAAAAGATCTTCTGGCACCTACAAAGACATGTAAGACTTAAATAAAAATAGCACAACATCATATATACAGAGCATGAAGGTCTTCCGGCAGCTAAAAAGAAACATACAGACGGCATGAAAATCACATAACATTATCATATATACAGAGCATGAAGGTCTTCCTCAGCCATTTACACAGAACCGTATAAAAGGCATTAAAATTACACAATAATTAGCAAGTAAGTGGAGGAATGGTGATATGCCTTGAGAGCATTAAGCTCTCAAGGCATCTATACATAACTATATGGAAGGCATTCAAATTACACAAAAAATTTGCACGCATACGGGGCATTTATAACACAATGTATCACAAACAGCATCACTGGCCCGCAGTAGCGCAAATATTCATGTATGGCAACAGTTGACAGATGAGTTCAGATCCTGCAACCGTTCACTGCTCAGAGGGGATCCTTATACATGTCCTAAGGTCAATAATTCAAAGTGAATGAAATGCCAAGAAAATTCAACATAATTCCATTGGTACAGATTTAAATGAATTGAATTCCCTTTGACATTTTGTTTGCTTTTAAATTCTTGTTTAATTTTACTGTAAGCAAACTTATGATGTAAGCACTGGTATATAGTACGGTATATGCTATGATTGTATGTAGGTAAACAATTGTATATGTATATGCTATGATGTAAGCATTGTATAGGTATATATGCTATGATTGTATGCTCTATGAAAGCTCAGAGCAACCACTCAGTCCAGAGTTAATAAGATGCAGAGAATTTCCTCTGACATGTACCTAGATTTGCAGTGCATCAATCAGAGCAAATCCAAGGCAGAGCAGCTACATACCCTGACTTATTGCATCATCTGGTAGTTCAGAGCAACTATGAGGTCAGAGAAGACTGGGGCAGAGCAGCTACATACCCTGACTTATTGCATCATCTGGTGGTTCAGAGCAGCTATGAGGTCAGAGAAGACTAGGGCAGAGCAGCTACATACCCTGACTTATTGCATCATCTGTCTGTTAAGAGCAGCTATGAGGTCAGAGAAGACTATATATGGCAGAGCAGCTAGAAACTTAGACCTCTTATTTATATAAGACAGCATCATACCTCATGTATCTGGTAGTGCAGAGTAGCCATGAGGTCTGAGTAGATATGCGGTGCTCTGAGCATGAGAGTCTCTGCGCTACAGAGCAGACCGATGAGACGCTTCCAGCGCTCCCAGCCCGCCCAGCTCTGGCCCACCAGGAACACCACAAAGCTCAGCTGCAGCTCACTCAGCAACCACTGCTCGCTGCAAATACTCTTTATTTAAATATAATAAGTAATAATTTAAACATATATCTTGAGACAAACAATTTACTACTACTGCTCACTGCAAATAGTCTTTATTTAAATGTAATAAGTGCTAATTTAAACATATTTCTTGAGACAAACAATTTACTACCCACTGCTCACTGCAAATACTCTTTATTTAAATATAATAAGTGTTAATTTAAACATATTTCTTGAGACAAACAATTTACTACCCACTGCTCACTGCAAATGGATTTTATTTTAACATGTTTCTTGAGTCAGATAACTTACTGCCCACTGCTTGCTGGAAATAGTGTTTACTTAAATATCGGTAGGTATTTGTTGAGCCAGACAACTTACTACCCACTGCTTGCTGGAAATAGTACACTAGTATTTTCATTTACATACATTTCTTGTTGCAGATCAATCAGCACTCACTGCTTGAAAAATTAATAATGCTTACTGAAAAATATTTCTAGTGGGAAATCACTCAGCATCTAAATAGCAATTTTATCAAAAACCAAATTTATTTTTTAAATCCAATTTCTGATATGAATGGTCTCATCATACTTGGGTTCAACCAAGGTTCCAACTAGGTAATAAAAACTTATTCAGATGAAAGACTAGAATTAAATAAGAGACATTTGGATGGAGAATGAAAGGTAATAATGATAAGTAATGTCAAAGAGTTCTTAATGAGAAATATTCATTACGGTATATAATAGTTTGATAACCCATTTGAATAAGGGAACATGGTTAGTTGAAATACCTACAGACTCCAATTTTCTGCAATACCGTCCACAACAAACTATCTTCCTCTTATACAATATTCTAAATATAATGTAGATACAATGCTGCAGCTGGTTATGTAAATTAACTGAAATCACTCAAGATACAAAAGAGAATAAAAAAAGCAGGTATCTACCTACATCAAGTTATCCTAATTGACTGTTGTTATACCCAGGCAGGAATTCTAGGATAGTGCATAAAGCTTTCCATTTTTGGGAGGATGCATGTCCATCTCCAACTACATCCAAGCTTTCCTAAAGCAATTTTCTTCTACGCACACCTCAACCTGAGACACATCTACCAAGATGCCGGATGAATCCTCTGATAGCACAAGAAAAACTCGGGTCTGGGAGGATGTGCATGTACAACTTATCCTAATACAATGTGCTACTATACCCACATCAGGTCTGGGAGGACATACATGTACAATACAACTTATCCTAATACAATGTGCTGCTATACCCACATCAGGTGTGGGAGGACATACATGTACAACTTATCCTAATACAATGTGCTACTATACCCACATCAGGTCTGGGAGGACATACATGTATAAGTTATCCTAATACAATGTGCTAATATACCCACATCAGGTCTGGGAGGACATACATGTACAACTTATCCTAATACAATGTGCTAATATACCCTTATCAATCCCCCGACTCACTTGCCGAGATGCCTGATCAAGTCGTCCAGTATTGGTGTTGGGTCAATGCAGACCGCAGTTATGTAAGCAGGTGTGGCGCCTGCCTTGTGTGTGCGCTCAGGAAGCTCGTACCACCTGAAGTCCAGCCCCGCTACTGGCACCAGCTCAGGCAAACCCTCATTAATAAGTCGCTTAGCAGTGGACCTCATTTGCTTTTCTTGACCAGAGCATAACTCATTATGAGATGGATTTTGAACCATTTTAGCAACATTAAGTTCTGTTATTTGGCTTTTAGAAGTACATTGTTCCATATCTTCAATAATAGTTGATGGTGTTGATGATTTGTTAAAGGTTCTTTGAGAGGAACAACTGTCATTGCATACTGATTGGGGAACTTTACCTTCATCAATACTCATTGTTGTAGTTATTTTATTAGTTTGGAGAGGTAGAGTGCTATTATTTGCATTGTTTTGTTGTGATGGTGAACTGTCTTCCATACTACTCGAAGTTGAGGCTTCATTTCCACAGTTTGATTGATGGGTTTTCAGACGTTTTCTAGCATCACTATTGCTGGTGCTGCTGCTATTGGGATCGTCCACAGGAACCATTGCAGGCACAGATGAAACCATGCCTGAGATGATAGATTATGAATGTTTCATTCATTGTAAATAATACCGGTACCTACTTTTTTACCACGATAGAAGACTAATTTATATATGTTCTTATGACTTAAAAACTTGCTGTAAATTTGTGAATAAGTTGTGAGTAAGGCAGATAATTAATTCATTTCAGCATAACTACTTTTAACAGTTTTACAAGTTTCTATAGCTTATTGAAAACGTTCTAACAAACAAGTTTTTGTATTATGATCTTATTTCAAATTTTCTATAGTTGAGACATTCTTATTATAATAATTTTTCCTCTCAGAGTATTGCATAATATTTAACAATAACTGATCATGGCAGTTCCATAATTAGTTAGTCTGCATCTGAGATATAATTTTAGAAAAATTATGGAAAATAAAAAAAAATTTTCAAGAACAAATTTCGCTGGCTATATTTTCACCAATAAATTTTTTGTATTTGATGCATTTTTAATGAAAAAATTCTAAAATTTTTCAAAATATTTGGAATGAAACTAAAACTTGAAATATTGATGCCAAAGTTAAATTCAAGCTCAGTACAGACAGCATGATTAGTTCTCTGGAATATAATGCATTGAATTACATTGCATTGTGTGGAGCTGTGTGGGTGAATAAAGAATAAATTAGTTCTCTGGAATACCTACAGTAATTGGTGGCAATATTGAAGTTTTTATAAGAAGCAGTAAGCACAGGCAACACATGACGTCTGGTTAATGCATCAACAACTTTGAGCCTTCTGAATATTCATGAAATGTCATACTACATCAAATTTAATGACATTTTCATACACTATGCCGATGTATATAGAGGGTAGAGGGTTAAATGGTAATGACTATTACTATCACAACATCTACCTTTGAATGGAGCTTATAGCAATATTAAGAATTATAATTAAAATATTGTTCAATATGAAATTATTATGAAAAAGATGAATATGTCATTTAATTTCATAGCTCACTTTTATTTGTTTCTAGGATTAAAAGTTGGACATTCCACAAGCCAAATTTGTATTTTTAATTGAAATATTCTTATAAGTACTTAATTCCTGAGCATTGTACATTCATAAATTCATACATGGAGGTATGTATGTATTACAATTTTCAGTCAGTAAAAAAATTCTTCAGATGACATTGGTAGATCAAATGGCAGGTTTAGCAAGTGATAATATAATATTAACGTTTTGAATGTAACAACATTCGTTTTCAAGTTAAGAGAAGTGTTGAATTCTGAAATTTTGTTGGACATAAGTACATACGGACATAAGTACATACCTACACGCGAATAGGATACAACACAACAACACTAATTGAGATCAAACTAGAAAAATATCCTCAATCAATCATAAGTTCTACACTTACTATGAATGCAAATATAAATAAAACTTACCAGAAAGAGGTAAAACTGATTCCAGGTGCCGTCTGTCAATCTTCTGAGTGAGAGAGACCCATCGCCTCCACAGCTCCGAAGGATAAGGTCCAAGCTCTCCTCTTAAGCTCTGAAGGTTTATTTTCACTCGTTCTGTTTGCTCTGGTGACTCTGTTAATCAACAGTGAACAGATTTGAGCAAAAACATTGATTTGAATTAACATGAAAAAATTAAGAAATAATCAATTAACTGCCCTCAGTGGCTGCTAATTTATATTATATGGCTGCTCAGAAAAATTTACAGGAAATCTGTAAAAAAATATAATCATTTGAGACTATTTTCTTGCAAATCAACCTGAAGTGCTAGTACCTAAATGAAGGGAATTTACTACATAACACTCCAATTCACAAATAAGAGGGAATAAATATACTTCAAGCTACTTACTGCTTTAAAAACTTTGCATGGATGGTATCAAACTGCATGTTAAGGTCAGCTTTTATTGAAAGCTATGACATTTCAAGGCACCAAGAATTGGAGACAGACCACTGATGGTGAGGATTATACCAATAAGTGCATTTCAAATGAAAATCTTGTAGAAAATGTAATAATTAGAAATTAATAGCTCACCATCTTTGAATTCTTCAGTAGCAGGCTGGTACACTTTGACAAGAACATCATTGGGTTCAAAGTAGTGGAAGAAGCCAGTGGCAGGGGCTGTCTCACCATATTTGCTCACAGCACTGAAAAAAATTACTTTAAAATTTGCATAGAATACCATATATGTACAATACTAGAATAGAAACAAATTTTTTGTTCCTATTCTGTGTTCTTTTATTATCAAAGCATTAAAATATACTTTTTATCAAAATTTCAAATGAGACAATTAAATTGAAACAATGAATAGCATATTATCAAAACATTAAAAATACCTATAATTTTTAAAGAAATTTCAAACAATGCAATTGAATTGAAATAATTTATGGCAATCATGGACTTATTCAAATATATACCATAGAACTACATTCAAATTACAACCTATAGTTGATGAAGTGAAGTCCAGGTGGGATCAAATTGATGCCCTTGAATTTGGGCCCAATAGTCCAGCTGTGCATGTCTATGCCTATTTCAGTATGAACAGGTACATTTAGCAGGACTAGAGCTGCTCCCTTGCACTGCAGGAACTTTTCAAAATCCTTCTCCTCATGACTTGTGTAGGATGCCATGGAGATGAAATAATGCAAATTTGCTATGCCAATATGAAATATGCTATTTCACTGAAAAGAAAATTTGAACTTTTAAGGTTTTTATGGTAGGTACCTGTGATGAAGAATCTGATTGCTGACCCTAATCGCCACGGGTTGTCGTGTCACCTTACAACCTCGGGTGCAAATGATATCTGCCCTTAATTCTATTAAGTATTTTTTAGGCATCTTCTATTTTACATATGCTGAGATCATTTTACCAGGCATTAATATAGATTGTTTCCTATCAAATGAAGTCTTCAAACGCACAATTGTGAACTCAAATCCATTTTTAAAAATTATGAGAATGAAAGGACCAAATTTCTGTCCTCAAGCGGAGCCATTCCCACGTATGACAACTCCAACCGCTCGAACTTGTGTCTATGTAACCCGTAGGGAGGAGACTGCAAGTTATTCATGTGTGCGTGTGCCTGAGAACATGTGCATGCACAGCTTCAGCACTGGTGCACCTGCATCCTCATCACTAGTTTCTCTGTTCTTATAGTTTTTTGATCTCATTGTCTGCAAGTTTGTTGCCCACCATTGAAAGAACTGCATGAAATGAAACGCATCAGCAGAGCGGGAAGCTCAAGTACCTTCCACCTCCGTTGCTCGTTGGACACTGATATCGTGAGTCCGACAGGAACGTAGCTCGCTGCCAGCACGTGAGTCCGCTTACTCGGTAGCAAATGTTCATACGTGGTTTGCTAAATGATCTACCTTATCATTATAGATCAAAATAGCTAAAATATTATTGATCCAACACCAAGAATAGATCTCAGTTGAAGAGTATCTCGACAAACAAGGCTGTGAGATTCGTGGTTAATTTTTTACGGAGGTTATTAGAAAATAAGGGCGTTTTCCCATGAACCCGTGATTAGGGTTAAGCCAATATGAAAAAAGAGTACAACGAAAAATTACAAAATTATATTGTTCTCATTTTTTAGAATTGCACCATAAGAAGGCACATAGAAAGTCATAGTTATTTTTTATAAACAAAAAGTTACACAAGGAAAATATACCTAGTTTTAGGTTTTCAATTCATAAAGTATAAGTGCACTTGTTCATGTATTATATCTCCTGAATTCTAGCCTACCTCATTTAATTGCAGAACCATGTTTCCTTGAGTACTTCTAAAAGTGTGAAAATGTTACTTAGTTGGAGTTTTCTCCAGCTAAACTTTTGGTTCATTAAAATCATCAAGATCATTGATGAATTCAACAGGCTCTGTGATGTCCAGGGTGTAGAAAGTGGGTGAATATTACAAGATCTTTGGCAATGCATCAGCAGCAAAATTTACGCCTTCAGAAGATCTTGCCAACACATTTGGATTGAAATTATTGCATCTTAGATATTTGCCAGTAATTGGCAACTACTTAGAAAATAGTTGAAAATCTGAAAGACCGCAAGCGCACACAGTAAGGTTTCCAGTGTAGCGGTTCCCGGTAAGCCCGCACAAATATGCGAGACTGTAGCTCTTGAGTCCTTGGGCATGGAATAAATACTGAATGTGGTCAGAAGGAGTCACATTCAGGAAGGCATGAAACATGGATAACACTAAACAATTTACTACTAACAAAATACAAAATATAAAATGGCAGATACAACAATAAATGAATGGTACCTAGTCTAAATCAAACCCTAGCAGTGGTGTCAGTTCAGCCCACTTGGTCTGGGTAAAGTGCGCTAACGAGTGGACCACTGTGGCCTCTCAGCATTTTAGTTTCAGTTAACTACCAGATAATAGAAAAGTGACAAATAGAAAAATAGTTATTACAAAAGTGACAAAATAACAGCTTCTGCTGCCAGATAATAACGTCTTACTCAAACATTAGCCAAGGCCAACTATGGTTTTAACAACCATAAATCAAGTAGTAACCATCCCTAGTAGTAGTAGTAGTAGTAATCATAAATCAAGTAGTAACCATCCCAGGCTTCAGGTACAAGCCAAGGAGTGATAGTTGGCAAGGCAGAACTTGACCACTGGTGGAGGGATGGAGATCAATGCTGAGAGGCTTGTGGACCAAGTCACACAATCTCACTCTACACTGCACTTAGCACCATCACTCTTACCTTATGGCAGGAAGTATGCCCAAAGGGTTGTAGCCATCTTACCATTTCCTGGGCTGTTGGGAGAGCTAATGGTTATCTAGGGCCTAGAGCACACTGTGATAGCAAATGGTATGTGGCTAGCAAATAGAACAAATAGGTGCCAAGCACAGGAATGCATAAGCGGACTAGGTCACACAATACCTAAATGTTGAACACCAATGGAAGTAAAGCAAGAAAAAAGCAACAGTTATGCAGTTCAAGAATTAAATCTGCAAATCCTAATTTCACACATCTGGTATATAGCTAGTCAGACTAAATCCTAATTTTGCCCTTCTGGGGTTTGTTAGCTATCAAACTAAAGTTTCAACTACTCTTGACACAACAACATGATTCCCTCACTGATGTATGGGGCATTCATGAGTGGATTATGAATGTCGACTGGTCCTACCAAGTCACACAAGTCATTAAATATTCTCCTTTACCCCTAGTCACACTAGCATACTAATTGGTAATTATACTCCTAGAAACAACTAGAAAATTGGACCATGTCACATATATCTGGATTCAAAGTATCTAGGAAAAGCGCAGGGCTCATGAACTTCAAGTTGGTATCCAAATCATATTTTGGTTCATAGGTGGAATGTCTTATCTTCTTTCTTGATGGCCAGGAAATGGTCGAGCGATCTTAGGTTCTCATCAAGTAGACTGTAGCTCCCCACCAAACGCTCCTAAATGTCAAATAAATGTGTTCATAAGAACTAGCCTTCTAGAAATATTGACATCAAGAGGACGTTTAAACTGTTTTGTCACACACAAAGTCATCAATGCATGGAAGGGGTTGCAGAAAGTAAGTTATTCAAGGGTGGACACAATATGGTTCAAGTAAGCAAAATGAAAATTGTGCAATAAAAGGACAGGATTAACATGAGAACCAGTGAAAACCATCCGTCATTCAATATAAACAGGCATGAATAACTGGAAAACATTTGTTAAGAGCTCAGCAAAGACAAATATAAGCATGGTGACATTTTAATGAGAGGAAATGCACTGTACTCACCAAAATGGAGCATCAGGAAGGGATTAGCAAACAGAGGTGTAGGTAGATCAAGTCGTGCATTAAGGGGCCTTAAACAGGCTTTTGAAGGTCAAAAAGAATCAGGTGCAACCAGTGAATTTCCAATTCAACAATCAGGGGTGCAGATTAATCAAAAGTGCATATCATATGGACTTGCAAGAATTTTGTCTCCTTAACTTTTACTCTGCTTAAATATTACACTGTATATAGTATTAAATATTACACAAATATTACTGGGCAGGGTAGCCCAGTGGTTAAAGTTCAGAGTACCAAGATTGGAGCAGAGAGGCGCGGGTTCGATCCCAGCTCTGGGCGCCAGTTTCTGGTCAGAATCGGCGAGGAGGCTGGGCGGTTAAGCACAGCAGAATTGTAGCAGTGAGTTGCGAATTCAAGACCGCAAAAATGCTGTGAATGTTCTGCGATGTTAAGAATCGGCAACAGGCCTATGGCCTAATAACCCTGAAATCGCTATTTATTTATTTATTTCACCAAGGGGAACAAGATACAAGATTAATAAGGTGCACACGACACTCAAACGATAATGAAATAAAACATGACCTACATTGAGGTACAATTGTGAATGAATGATTCTACTGTATACTATAGCTAATGTTCTGCGGCCCTCTTCATCCGGTACGTTGGATGGATCAGGATGCAGTGAAGCTTGTCCAGAAATCAGTTGCGATGAGTGTTCAGGGTTTGTACTGGTACGTAATTAGAAAAAAATTCCATTACTTTTCCATGTCTCTCCATGACCATCAATTTAATTTTCCAAGTCTTGTATAAAACAGGTTTAGCATGACTAAATGACTAACCGTGCATATTCTATCATCTCCTACAGTTGATAAATAGCAAATGTGTAAATGCTCTATGCTGTAAATGCTCTATGGGCCTAGAGCACATAGAGACACAGAGGAACAAAAATGACACAAATATGCAAATCAAGCCCACACTGGTATTATAATGAATTCAATAGTTTTAAATCACAACAAATATTGAGTAATGCACACAAGATTGTACAAGATAATGTCAATACAGTTCAGAACACTCTTCAACACCACCACCTGGCAGCTATTTCATAAACTGTTTCTTTAATGTTCAGTTCGAGAGTGTCTAGCTCCAGTTGCTATGTTTTCAAAGATTGACTCATGGCGTTGAACTTTGCGATAATTTTCAAATCCCCCTTTATCTCCATCGCTTCTGCATAATCATCTGCTACTTGTTCAAGCACCTTGATACCCTCCTCTGCCTTTTCTTCATCTTCAGTTCAGCTACCTCATTCAACAGAGCCTTCTCTTTGGGTTCTGGGCCTTTGCATTCTGCTCGTTCTCTTCTGCAAAATAAGTATTGTAGGCTGTTTCGGCACTGCTAGCTGCAAACAGCATCTTCTTGGTGATAGTCATTTTGTCCTGGTCACCAACATGTGCAACATGATCAACCACAGCACGCAGGGCAACCTCTGTTTGCTCTTTCACATTGTGTGTCATGTTTTCCTTGTTGAATGAAAACCCTCTTCTAACCATGGTTTGGCCATGAGACTAGCACTGGCCATGAAACTGCACTACATTCCAGAGTTTCTTGTACGCACTTTTTGACAGAATGGCATGCCAAAAAGTGGCCAGTCGGTCAGAAGTTGAAAATGCTTGAAACTGCGTGTTGAGTTTACTGCAATGTTGTGATTCATCTCTAAAGTGCTTGTAAATGAAAATGTTGCTTGTAAAAGCAACAAATGCACAATGTTGCTTGTAAAAGAAAAGTGAGATGACATCATTTTCAATGACCACCAAATTTCTGATGTCAGAACATCTTTTGTTACAAAGCTGGTCAGTTCGCCATTGGGATTGGCTTTGTCAGTGGATACAGGCCTGCTCTCCGTCTCTACATTCACAGACGGCTTTCACACTGCTGGCTTATGCCAGCCCTGCCTGGGCGCCCGCACTATCCAACACAAACATACAGAAACTCCAAACACTACAAAACAAAGCACTCAGGATAGTCACAGGCTGCATACAAAGCACCCCCATAGAACACCTTCATGCAGAAACAAAAATACTTCCCATAAAAGCACACCTCGACATGAGAGGAACACAATTCATAGTCGCAGCCATAAACAACACCCAACACCCATGCCACTACCTATGCAACCACCCACCTACACACAGACAAATAGTGCAAACCCCCACACAGATACTACACCAACATACTAGATACAGTACTCCCACCGCAAAGCAAGACCAGCACAAAAAAAACACACACACACAATTATGACACTTAGAACGCTGGAGCTGGCCGGGAACAACAAAGTCCTTGGGCTGCAGGGAACCAAAACCACACGACATAAGCAGCACAGAAACACAGCTCTCTAGACTGGAGAGAGTACACCTAGCCAGGCTGCGCTGCGGCCACCACCCCTCACTACAAACATACGCAAACAGAATAGGCCAAGCAGACACAGACACCTGCCAGAGGGCTCCCCACACAATCACTCACATTCTCCTGGAATGTCCACACTGGCAGGACCTCAGACAACACCATAACATAACCTCAAGCCTACAGCTCTGGAGCAACCCCCTGTTGGTGGTGTCATACTTGCGCGAGGGGGTCTCTTATAAAAATGAGACCGAGGAACCACAACAACAACAACAACAACATTCACAGAGGCAGTAGACACTAGTGCTGTTGCATGCTGACTTTTGCAACAGTCTATTCCCTGATACACTTTTGGAGCAAGAAACTGCAGTTGCATTGCTGTCAGCAGACCACAAATTGGAAATGGGCGACTGCAATTTGCTTTTCTCTTCACTGTGTTGCTTAGCTAACTTGGTATGTTTGCTGCCTTTGGCATGGCTCTTCAAAGCTGCTTCCCCCATATTTGACACATCAAAGTCTTTCAAGCACAATGTACATATCGCCATACCTTCATGCTTTGGATGGCAAGCAAGCCAGTCACAATATGATTCTATTCTTAACCACAAGTCATGAAATTTGCACTTTCCAGCAGGTGATGCAGAAATTGCATGCTGAAGATGGAATGCTGCCACTGCAGATCAAAAAGTTGTTAA